ACGTTTAAAGCGACATATCAATGACTGCAACCATCGTGTTGTATACAAACCTCGCAAACTTTAAAACACGTTCTCTAGTGATACCTGCGAAAGTATTCAGTATAATTTCCGGTAAGATTTTCGCTGACAATCTGATCGATTTCTCTTACATTGTGTGCTGAGAGGCCCGAGACTGAAACTTTTCACCTCAAGCAAATCTCCGTCGCACGGTCCAAAAAAACATAGCGAGCAACTGAGCTAGTAGTATATGTCCGTGTCAAAACACACGGAAGGACTCTAAAGCACACTTCACTCTGATTGGGCAGAAAAACACAAAGATTTTCTGGCACCAATCAGATGGCAGAACGACTGCGACCGTTTGGAACTTGTCTTGTAAGACAATGTCCCCAGGGGCTCTTCATGCCCTAACTTGAAATCGACTCAGCCCCTGGGTCTCCGAGGATGCTTAAAATCTAGTAGAATAAAGACTCATAAAACGGCTAGCCACAAAATTATCAATTCTCCTCAATGAACTGTAACGGTCAATGATGACGTTAAGTCACGACAAAGTTTCTGATAATGGTACTCAAGTCAAAACATAGTCCTTGATAATGACACTCAGGTCATAACAAAGTCTTTCAATCTTTCCGGCGGTTTCCGACTCTCATTGGTCTCGTCACAACCGGGCTGCTCAGTTTTTCTCGTTCTGCTTCCGGTTCCGCAGGATCAGTAACATCAAGCAATGAAGTTGTCTCCCCAGTATTCTGTGACGCCTCCTCATACTTCTTTACCTGGGTTGTGTTTAGCATCAGTTTAACGCCGTCTAGTGATTCAACAACAACACTGTTTCCAGTCTTGGTTATAACATCCTAAGGTTCAGGAGCAAATGGTGTTGATAATTTGTTTTTACACTCTTGTTTCAGTAATACTTGATCAAATGGAGCAAGGTAAGAATCCTGGGCATTCCTCTTCTTGTCTGCATACCATTTGGTTTTGGCTTTCATTTCGCCATCTCTGTCTTACATCTCACTCTCTGTGCTCTCCTCTTTCAGTTCGGGTAATTTAGTACGCATCTTTCTACCAAACAAGAGTTCCGCTGGGCTCACCCCTGTGGTAGTGTGAGGGGTTGACCTATATGTTACCAAATACTTGCGCACCTCATTCTTCCATTCTTTTTCCTCAGCTTGAGCTATTTTCATCCTTTTATGGAGGGACTTATTTTGTCTTTCCGCTTCGCCATTTGCTTGGGGCCATAATAGCGTGGTCTTCCCGTGTTCCATACCGTTATCCTCCAAATACCACTCAAATATTTCAGATCTGAATTGTGGACCATTGTCGCTTCGAAGCAATTGAGGTAGTCCACGCGTGGTGAAGATTTTCTCCAAACACTCTATGACTTTCTCTAACGTTGTGGAGCGCATGGCTTCCACTTCATAGTATCTGCTGAAGTAATCAATGATGCCTAAGACAGATTCTCCAGAAGGTAATGGGCCTAACAGGTCAATGGTCAAATCTTGCCATGGGCCACTTGGTAATGGGTTTGACTTGATTGGCTCTGGGTTTGCTGGGCTGCTTATAAGCTGACAGCCATGACACGTTTTGCAAAACTTCTCGGCTTCTCTGTCGATTCCAGGCCACCAGACTTTTGATCGTAACCTCTGCTTCATACTGACAATTCCTGGGTGTCCTTCATGGGCAAGGTTCAATACTCGAGGTCTCAGCTTGCTCGGTATGACAATCCTGGTACCTCGAAGAATCAGCTTGCCAATTACACACAGTTCGCCACATACTGGTATGTACTGCTTATGCTAATCACCTTTCCAGTTTCCATCTTTAATGTACTGATGCAGTTCCACAAACTCTCTTTCTTCTGATGAGGCTTCTTCAATTTCACGTGTTGTCATCGCTTGAGGAGTGGCGGTTGCCGCGACGAACCTGACAAACTCAGCTGACACCTTGTGCGCCGATGACGATTCTGCTTACCCGTTCGCATGCAGTAAGCGTGACAATGGGTTAGCAATATTTTGCTCTCAAGGTAGGTATTTGACTTGGAACTTATACAGCTGTAATCGCAGGATCCATCTTTCGATTCGTGCACACGGCTTGGATCCGCTCGTGTAGATTGTTTCTAGCGGCTTATGATCACTATACAGAGTGAATTCAATGCCGTACAAATACACACGAAATCGCTCACATACCCACACAACAGCTAAGGCTTCTTTTTCTGTTTGCGAATAACGCCTTTCCACAGCGCTTAAACTCTTGCTTGCGTAGCTAATGACTCTTTTCCTGCCTTACAGCTCTTGGATGAGTATCGCACCGAGGCCTATCGGGCTTGCGTCTGCTATGATTCGTATCTTGGCATCTTTATCAAAGTAGCCAAGATTATCTGCACTTGATAGCCTCCTCTTAAGCTGATTGAATGCATTCTTCTGCTCTTCTCAAAATTGGAAACGAACACCCTTTTTGGTCAACTTTTGCAATGGCTCCGCGACTGTAGCGAAGTCCGGAATGAAACGGGCATTGTAGTTTGCCAGTCCCAGAAAACGGCTGACTTCTGATGCGCTTTGCGTTTCTCTTGCATCAACAATCGCTTTTACCTTGTCTTCGGTAGGGCCAATACCACAGCTGCTTAACACTAGTCCCATGAAGACCATCTGGGTCATGTGGAACTTGCACTTCTCCGCATTCAGTGTGAGATTCTTCTCTTTCAGCCTCTCCAAAACTCGCTGCAGTCTTCTGTCGTGTTCCTCAGTGTTCTTCCCATGAATGATGATATCATCTGAGATGTTGGCAACACCTTCGCAGCCTTGTAATGATTGTTGGATGACGTGCTGGTATACTTCTGGAGCTGAACTTATCCCAAACATGAGGCGCTTGTATTGGTAAAGACCACAATGTGTAGTGAACGTTGTGATGCTTCTGGAATCTGGATGGAGTTCTAACTGGTGGTAGCCCCATTTTAAATCCAGTTTACTGAACATTGTGCTCTGGTTGAGGCTTTGGAGCACTTCGTCCACTGTGGGTATGGGATAACGTTCTCTGATAATGGCTTCGTTAGCTCTGCGCATGTCTACACAAAGGCGTATTTCGTCATTCTGCTTTGGGACTACTACAACTGNCAACTGATTGACTGACTACATGTCTTACTGAATGACCGACAACTGGTTGACTGACTGCATGTCTTAGTGAAAGACCGGCAACTGATTGACTGACTACATGTCTTACTGAATGACCGACAACTGATTGACTGACTGCATGTCTTAGCGAATGACCGACAACTGGTTGGCTGACTGCATGTCTTACTGAATGACCGACAACTGATTGACTGACTACATGTCTTACTGAATGACCGACAACTGATTGACTGACTGCATGTCTTAGCAAATGACCGACAACTGGTTGGCTGACTGCACGTCTTAGTGAATCACCGGCCACTGGTTGACTGTCTACATGTCTTAGTGAATGACCGGCAACTGGTTGGCTGACTGCATGTCTTAGTGAATGACCGGCCAATGGTTGACTAACTGCATGTCTTAGTAAATGACCGGCAACTGGTTGGCTGACTGCATGTCTTAGTAAATGACCAGCCTCTAGTTGACTGACTGCATGTCTTGGTGAATGACCGGCAACTTGTTGACTGACTACATATCTTAGTGAATGACTGGCCACTGGTTGACTGACTAGACAATATTTAAACAATACTTGAAGTTTCCGAGCAAACACAGGAATAACTACACTTATACAAATAAACAAAATTACAAAACTTGACGTGTACTGCAGTCAAAACTCGTTTCCATGGATTTAATCAAATAAGGAGAGACATTAGAAACTGCTCTGGTGTGTACATCCATATGACACAGCATGATACTCTACTAAGAGCAAATCCCAGACAGTAAAATGCAAATATTCCAAGGTAAGAAATATGTGTAAGAAGTGAAATATACGCTGCTTTATCTTCATCTGCAGTCTTTAGTTACTGCTGGGATATCCTTTTTACTTCTTCTAGACTTGATGACCGAGGTTAGGTCTTGTTTCACGCTTGATTCATTCTATAAACCATTCCGGGGTCCTCAGATCATTTGACAATGACACATACAGTGTAGAATAAAAATTTGCGGGAGTTTCATCTAGCAGAGAAGAAGCTTAAGTTTTGTTAATTTTTCTTCGGGAGCACATTCTTGAGATTTTCGCTTTGAAATCTTTTGGAGTTTGATTAAGGCGTTTTCCGGACTTTCTGTGTCTTCTTGAGGTATTAAGAGCGACTTTTTTTTCCAAGACCGCCTAAGAGGCGGCACATCGACCGAAGAATGACTATCCTCATATTTCAGTCAGAGACACCTTGTGGTGAACATAGCAACGTGGTATGCTTTTTTTTTTTTCCAGACATGCCTCTTCATCCGAAAAAAATTCACGAAAACTAAAATGAGCGTCGGTAGCCGTTAAATGGCGGATATCAGTGTCCCGAGTAGAGACAAACAAACTTGCCCATGAAAAGCGCAAAAGAAAGCAGGCCCATATTAATTTTATAGATTTGTATACGAAGGATCGAGGTATGGTTTAAGTAAACGGGACCATTTTATTTAATTTGGAGCCCATTGGACGCTTTTGAAAATCATCAATATTTCAAAATTCAAATATTGCATTCCGTAGCAAATTTTCAATTATCATTTTCCCCATGCTGTATAACTCAGAATCGGTTCAGGTTAAGCTCATGATAAGTGGAGATAGTGTTGTTTTCGAGGATATAAAAAATAGTTTGAGGCTTTTCATTTCCGCACGGAAAAACCAGGCTGAACTTTGTGAAAATCGCAACATCGGCATTTACATTACGACATAATCTGATTAGGCACCCTGTGGTTAACTCCGGAATTCTAAGCACATTTTAGCAGTTAACACCGTGTTCCATCAGGAAATCAATACAATAAGCTAGCCTTGCATAGTTAACGACGACTGATTGGTTTTTATCCCTGCTTTCGTTCAAATTCTCATCTATTTCCCATGGCAAAATTGTTTATAATATCACATTCCGTAAGCTAATGGAGGGCGTCTATTTTTGTTAGCATATTCGTACACATTTAGGTTTTAAGAGAGTTCTAGGGTAAGATTGAGTTTTATTGTGGAACGGAAAGAGGACAAGTCAATCATTTATACTGGCAGGTCAAATGTTGCTTGCTGAAGACGTTGAAGACGGGAAACAATCTGACGCTAGTGTAGATGAAACACTCTCAAGCGTTTGCCACCCAATGCTCAAGCTATTTCAATCTTGTTCCCATCTTGTAATTTTGCGGCCATGAATATCCGTGAATAAAGTTTTTAACAAACTTGTCAATGTGATAAGTTTTCTTATCAATAAGTCATCGCTGTGAGACTTGCTAATTTCGCAGCAGGAATCTCATGCAGACAGAGATTGAGTGATATCACATACTTAGAGGAGCTAATAAGCAAAACAAAAAAACAACAAATAGCTACAGCAGAGCAAAGGAAAGAGAGGTAAAAATTATGAAAAAAAAAAACTTAGGGAAAGGGTCAAGAGTCAGAGTAAAGACGAAACAGAGGTAAAGTACAAAATGACTGAGAGAGGAATACCAGGTAAACTAATACAAACAAAGAATCTTAGTTGAATTTAGAGAGTTCTTCCCAATTGAGAGTTTTAGTTACAAAACTCACGGAAATGGAAATCAATCTTTTCAATTGAGAGTTTTAGTTACAAAACTCACGGAAATGGAAACCAGTCTTTTCAGGGGTCGGTTAGGCTAGAAACTTTTCGCAAACTAAAACAGCTGTGTCGAGTAAAAGGTTATGCTTTTGATACCTAATGTCGTGGTGTAAAGTCATTTCTGAACACCTAGAGCCTGTCAGCAATACCAATGTTGAGGCGATAGTAGATCAGATTTAATTTCAGATCGAGCGCCAATTCTCACTGTTCTTTAGGCGTTGGATGAAGGAGAGTGTCACAAAGATGCGGTGCATTCTAGAAGGGTTATCCAG